AGCAGGGAGGGATTGCATTGGGAGTTATACCTGATGTAAATGATGAGTTGATGGATGCTGATGAGTTGATGGGGTGCAGCACACCAACATGGCACAAGTATACATATGTAACAAACCTGCACGTTGTGCACATGAACCCTAGAACTTAAAGTATAATTTTAAAAAAAAGTGTATGACACTTCCCCTTTCACTCCTCTCCTGTTGCCATGTGAAGATGTGCTTGCTTCCTCTCCCACTTCCACCATGATTGTAAGTTTCCTGAGGCCTGTACAGCCTGCATAACTGTGAGTCAATTAAATCTCTCTTCTTTATTAACTACCCAGTCTCAGGTAGTTATTTATATCAAAGTGTGAATGGGCTAATGCACTAGATAAACATGAACAAATTTTTGGTAGAAAGATGGATGGCGCAGGTCATTCTGGTGAGGTATCAAATGGAAATGAGAAATATGTTACTGGAAACTTGAGGAAAGGTGGTCTGTAGTATAAAGTGGCAAAGAACTGGACTGAATTGGGTTCATGTTCTACTGTTTTGCGGAAGGTAGAACTTGAGAGCAATGAAACTGGATATTTGACTGAGGAAATCTATAGGCAAAGTGTTGGTGTGGCCTGGCTCCTCCTGACTACTTATAGTAAAATGCCAGAAGAGAGAAATGACTTAAAGACAGAATTCTTAAGCAAAAAGCAAGCAGAATTTAAACAGTTGGAAAATTCCCAGCTATCCATATTGCAAAAAATGAGAAATGCCAAGCAACCATTTGAGAGGGAGATTAGAATGGAAATGAATCATGAATTTAATTAGTCACGCCAGGAGAAAAATTAGCAGTTGAACTGACACCTAAGAAGAGTGTGTGGAGGGGAAGGAGATGGGAAGTAATGAAGGAAGGCTGTCAGACTTCTTGGATAGCCAAATGGGACCATTTGGCTAGGAATGTGCACTATTCTTCAAGACAAGGGAAGAATGGTCCCAAAGGCAATTCAGGGACCATCAGAGCTGCCTTCTTGGTCTCAAAAGGGGGATCATTGGCTTGCTTTTGATAGGCCAGATTGCTAGGCCAGATTGCCTCTGCCCAAACCTGTGCCAGCTACCTAGTGGTCTGGGGACACAATCCCTGCCAAGTAGAGTTGTAAGGGCAGAACCACCACCTCAGTGGGACTGAATGGCAAGACCTTCTCCCCAGTGGACCTGGAGGACAGAGCATCAAGCCAAAGAGAATTATTCTTGAGCCTAAAATTTCATAGAGTTTGCCTTACAGTTTGGACATCCTTGAGGCCTGTTATAACTTTCCTCTTTCCTATTTCTCTTTGTGGAATGGAGATGTCCATCCTATGCCTGTCCTATTATTGTATTTCGGAAGCACATAGCTTGTTTCAAGGTTTTACAGGTTCACAGTTAGAAAGCAATTTGCCTCAGCATGAATTGTACTTTGAGTCTCTCCCATATCTGATCTAGCTATTTAGATAGGACTTTAGATTTTAGACCATAGAGTTGATCTTAAGATCATACTATGGAATGAGTTAAGATTTTGGGGCTGTTAGGATGTAATCAATATACTTTGCGTGTGAGAAGGACATGAATTTGCTGTGGCCAGGGGTGGAATGCTGTAGCCTGAATGTTTGTTTCCCCTGACCCTCCGAATTTATATGTTAAAATTCTAACCCTCAGTGTGAGGGTTATTAGGAGGTGGGACTTTGGGGGGATGATTAGGTCATGAGGGTTGTACCCTAATGAATGTAATCAGTGCCCTTATAAAAGAGACCCGGGAGAGCTCCCTTGTCCCTTTCATTATGCAAGAACACAGGAAGAAGGTGGCCATCTATGAACCAGGAAGTGGGTCCTCACCAGACACTAAATCTGCTAGTGACTTGATCCTAGACTTCTCAGCCTCCAGAACTGTGAGAATAAATATCTATTGTTTGTAAGCCATCCAGTCTATGGTAATCTGTTACAGTAGCCCGAACACACTAAGACACAGGGCTGTAAAGGCTACTTAGTAAATTATGTACTTATACCTTTTCCTAATACAACATGTTAGGGTTTGTTTGCTGGTTTTGTTTAATTTTGATTTTTTTTTTTGAGGCAGAGTTTCGCTCTTATTGCCCAGGATGGAGTGGCTCACCGCAACCTCTGCCTCCCGGGTTCAAGCGATTGTCCTGCCTCACCCTCCTGAGTAGCTGGGATTACAGTCACCCACCACCACGGCTGATTAATTTTTTATTTTTAGTAGAAACAAGGTTTCTCCATGTTGGTCAGGCTGGTCTCAAACTCCCGACCTCAGGTGATCCACCTGCCTTGGCCTCCCAAAGTGCTGGGATGACAGGCAAGAGCCACCATGCCTGGCCTGTTTTGATTTTTTGGCTCGTCTTTATGCAGCTCTCTCCACCTGTCTCCTATACTTTGTAGGGAATGGACTTCAGGGTAGATGCCATTTCCTGCAGCTTATTCATTGGATCTCCTTTTGCACATTTATTGACTGAAGGCAGTGGTAACTTTTAATTGATATGATACTTCCAAGGAGTCTAGCATTTACCTTGCCACAGCAGCAGTTTTATGGTGAAGAAAATGGCAGGTATCAATACTGGGACTGAGAAAGGACAGGGACTCTTTCCCGAAATTCATTAACGTATTATTTTCTAGGTGATACTATTTGGTAAAACATTCATTGCATGTCAGACAAGTTCTTTTAACAAATTATAAACTATGGTCAAGACAAAGCTTGATAATTTTTTTTTTTTTTTTTTTTTTTTTTGAGATGGAGTCTCGCTCTGTAGCCCAGGCTGGAGTACAGTGGTGCAATCTCAGCTCACTGCAAACTCTGCCTCCCCAATTCAAGCAATTCTCCTGCCTCAGCCTCCCAAGTAGCTGGTACTACAGGCGCGAGCCACCACACCTGGCTAATTTTTGTATTTTTAGTAGAGATGGGGTTTTACCATGTTAGCCAGGTTGGTCTTGAACTGCTGACCTCAAGTGATCCACCTGCCTCAACCTCCCAAAGTGTTGGGATTACAGGTGTGAGCCACCACGCCTGGCCCTTGATAAATAATTTGAGGGAGAAAAAATAAGAATCTGATGTCTGTCATCAAAACAGGACACCACCAAATGCTGGAGAGGTGTGCAGCAACAGGACTGTGGTCCACTGCTTGTAGGAATATAACAGCACAGCCAAGCTGGAGGACAGTTTGGCAGTTTCTTACAAAACAAAGCATATTCTTACCATATGATCCAGCCATCACACTCCTTGGTTTTTACCCACTGGAACCGGAAAGTTATGTCTGCACAAAAACCTGTGCGTTGATGTTTATAGCAGCTCTATTCATAATTGCCAAAGCTTGGAAGCAACATAGATGTCTTTCAGTAGCCAAATGGATAAACTGTAGTACATTCAAGCAATGCAGTATTATTCAATGTTAAAAAGAAATGAGCTTTGAAGTTATGAAAAGACATGGAGGAAGCTTAAGTGATATAAGTGAAAGATGCCAATCTGAAAAGGCTATATACTGTAGGATTCCAACTATAAGACATTCTGGAAAAGGGAAAACCACAGAGACAGTAAAAAGATCAGTGGTCAGCCGGGCACAGTGGCTCATGCCTGTAATCCCAGCACTTTGGGAGGCTGAGGCGGATGGATCACGAGGTCAGATCGAGACCATCCTGGCTAACATGGTGAAACCCCGTCTTTACCAAAAATACAAAAATTAGCTAGGCGTGGTGGCGGGCACCTGTAGTCCCAGCTACTTGGGAGGCTGAGGCAGAAGAATCGCTTGAACCTGGGAGGCGGAGCTTGCAGTGAGCTGAGATCACGCCACGGCACTCCAGCCTAGGTGACAGAGCGAGACTCCGTCTCAAAAAAAACCCAAAAAAACAAAAAAAGAAAATCAGTGGTTGCCAAGGGTTGTGGGGAGGGATGAAATCGGTAGAGCAGAGGATTTTCAGGGCAGTGAAAATACTCTGTATGATGCTATAATGTTGGACAAATGTCATCATAAATTTCTCTAAACCCATAGAATGTACAACACCAAGAATGAACCCTAAGCTATGACTTTCAGTGATAATGACATGTCAATAGAGGTTCAGTGATTGTAACCCATGTACCATTCTGGTGTGGGATGTTGAAGTGTGGGAGACCGTGGGTGTGTGAGAACAGGGAGTGTATGGGAATTCTTTGTACTTTCTGCTCAGTGTTTCTGTTGGCCTGAAATGGCTCTAAATAATAAAGTCTATTTTTTTTTTTAAAAGATCACATTCGATGTCCATTTTTCTGTTATAGGACCCATTATATACACTCCGTGTTATTGTTATGGAAAAAAAACTTTACTGATTAATATTAGTCCATTAACATAGAAAACCTTGCTGTTATGTAACTACTTTGCGTGTACCAGAAGATTTTTGCCACACCAGAAGAGGGAGAAATCTCATGTTCAAATGCTTCCTTTTTCTCATAAGCAGCAGACAATGTTTGGCAGATGGTGCTAATGAACAACCTCACTGATCAGTCTTTGTGCTACTGCCAAGCAGCAGCTAACTTGGAACTTTAGTTGTTGTTGTTTTGAGACAAAGTGTTGCTCTGTCACCCAGGCTTGGAGTGCTGTGGTGTGATCTTGGCTCACTGCAACTTCTGCCTCCCAGGTTGAAGTGATGCTCCTGCCTCAGCCTCCCAAGTAGCTGGGATTACAGGCACGCACCACCATGCCCGGCTAATTTTGTATTTTTAGTAGACATGTTGGTCAGGCTGGTCTCGAACTCCTGACCTCAAGTGATCTGCCTGCCTGGGCCACCCAAAGTGCTGGGATTACAGACATGAGCCTCCATGCCCGGCCTGTGAGCCACCATACCCAGCCCAATTTTTTATTAAACCTTTTTATAAAAAGCCACATTTGTGTGTAATTTTGTAACTGGAATAAAATATTTACTACAGAGTACTATTTCATTTCATCTTCTTCCTTTGAAAATATGGAGTTATGGCAAAAAGTATGATTTTTAAGGAATAAGAACCAAATCACTTTAAAGAAAGAATACTTTATTGTAATTTATTGAATCTTTAATATACAATATGGCAAATTTTCTGGGATTTAACTCTAGGACATGATTGCTGCTGGTATTTAGCAAAAGGCTCCGGTTCATACCTAGCACTAATAAAATGCTTTTCTGAATAAAAACATAACACCAAACAAAATGAATTCAAATATTTTCTTTAAAAAATTATTTTAAAGTTTGTTCTATTCAGCCTAACACAATAAAGGGAGACACCATGGTTTAACATAATTAGCTGATTTTGTACACCACATATCTTTAAGTCCACTTAATAACAAAGTAAGTATATTATTAAGTGATAGAGAACACTCAATATAGCGACTTTTACAGAACTAGGAAATCATTTTTTTTTTTTTGAGACAGAGTCTTGGAAATACATTTCTAAGACAGATTTTTCCAGACACTCATCTTTCATACCCAACCACAGGGTCTAACTCTAAAGAGGATAAAACCAATTACTTTGCTCTCAAGAGCTCATGACTAATGATAGTGTGAATCTATGCTATCAAAACCTGTGTTTCTCATCTGTTATGAGTACTCAGGCGAGATTCAAATATTCTCAAGGAAAGAAACACAGTACGCACCGTGATCGCCTGCTCAGCAACAGCCAGCACTGCATCCCAAATGATCTCATCCCAGGAATTACATGAGGCCAGCTGTGTACACCGGCATTTCCCCCACTGTAGTACTGCAGAAGGTCTCAGTGTCACGAAGAATCCTTTTGTCTTCTTTAATATTTATGGTCACAGCTGTCTTCCCAAGTTGACCCCTACTGCCAGTTCTGAACAAAAGAAAAAATATGAATCAGAATATTATTCAGCAAGTACTACATGAACTACTGAACAATCTGAGCTACTAGTTAATCATCGGTGGCTGTTTATTTGTCAGAATTATATGTAGAGTGCTTCTAAATGGAATACAAGATACTGATCAAAATATCTAGAGAAAAAGAAAAGGTTTTTTTGCAAAGTTAGTACAAAAGGAGTTAAGGCTCATCTGGCTGCGAAATGAACATTATTACTTATAAAGAGGATGAAAGTATTGGGTTTAGGGTAGTAAAATTAAAGCCCCTACCAAAGTGGGCCAGCCAAGAGTGGGTGTCATGTCAGTCTGGGACAGATGTGAACAGGCACAAAACAAAAGAACAGTTATGAATCCATTCTGATACACTTTCAGAATTAACTACAGATGTCAGCTCTGAAATGTTCACTGTTGTTTACGACTATGCTGTCCAATAAACAGTCACTAGCCACATATGGCTATTTAAATTTAAATTAATTAAAATTAAATGAAATAGGCTGGGCACAGTGGCTCACACCTGTAATTCCAGCACTGTGGGAGGCCAAGGCAGGTGGATCACTTGAGGTCAGGAGTTCGAGAACAGCCTGGCCAATACGGTGAAACCCTGTCTCTACTAAAAATATGAAAATTAGCCAGGAGTGGTGGTGGGCACCTGTAATCCCAGCTACTCGGGAGGCTGAGGCAGGAGAATCGTTTGAACCCGGGAGGCGGAGGTTGTAGTGAGCCGGGATTGCGCCACTGCACTCCCGCCTGGGTGACAAGAACAAAACTCCATCTCAAAAAAAAAAAAAAAAAAAATTGCATTAAGCGCATTCCAATAGTCACATGTTATCTGCCACTCCTGTATTGGACAGTACAAATAGAGAACATTTCCATCACCACAGAAAGTTCTATTGGGTAGTTCTATTGGGAAACTTTTACCAGTAGAGGGAAATCTTGAAAAAATGTATTCTGGTAACCCATATTTATCACTCCTTTCTGCTCAGTTCATGTCACAGACTCTAACACAAATGACCAAAATATGTTTGCCACTACAGTTCTCTACTAAAATGGATCACACAACCAATCAAAAGTGTTCTTGCTGTAGGAACTTAAAATATCAAATAATCAGAACAAGAGAAAACCACATATGGAAATACTGATTCCTTCTTTATCCAAACGACCTGCTGTTTCACTTATAAATCTATGTCCGAAATCAGGCCCATGGCATTTCTGACCACCACTTGTTACCTACTCCTATGAACTACTACATTAAAAAAAATATAGTAACTCATTTTTATTGGTAACAAGGCATAGTTCAATTTATTTAGTGAAAAAGTCAATATAACTAGGCTAGGATCAATATAAACTGTGACCAAAAAATGCTGAGAAAATTCCAACTATAGAGGAATCGTCAAGAAAGCACAAGCTATGAGCAAACACGACTTTAAGACAGACTCATAGGTGAGTTAAAGACAACAAAATCTAATAGCATTATTGATTTTTCCCTGAAATATCAACAGTATATAAAGTCCAAAATCTGAGGAACATTTCACATTTGCTTTCCACTGTGTTCTGTCCAACCATGAGTCCTCCCAGGTACAATTTAAATATCATGTTACGAGGTGATAAAATTATTATCCTGATACATTTGCCTGGCTGACAAAATCACCTTGAAAAACAATACAGTCATGCGCTGGATAATGACATTTTGGTCAACTACAAATTGCATATACGATGGTGATGCCTTAAGATTATAATGGAGCTGAGAAATTCTTGTCACCTAGTGACTTCATAGCCATCGTAAAGTTATAGCCTAGTTACTTTATTTTTATTGTTTTGTTTTGTTTTTGTGACTGATTTTCGCTGTTGTTGCCCAGGCTGGAGTGCAATGGCACAATCTTGGCTCACCACAACCTTCGCCTCAAGCGATTCTCCTGCCTCAGCCCCCCAAGTAGCTGGGATTACAGGCATGCACCACCACGCCCGGCTAATTTTGTATTTTTAGTAGAGACAGGGTTTCTCCATGTTGATCAGGCCGGTCTCGAACTCCTGACTTCAGGCGATCCGCCTGCCTCGGCCTCCCAAAGTGCTGGGATTACAGGTGTGAGCCACTGCGCCTGGCAATTACTTTATTTTAAAAATAAATGTAGTATAGCCTATGTGCAGAGTGTTTATATATAAAGTCTACTCTAGTATACAGTAACGTTCTAGCCATTCACATCCACTCACCACTCACTCACTGACTCACGCAGAGCAACTTCCAGTCCTGCAAGCGTCACCCCTGTAAGTGTCCTATACAAGGGTGCTGTTTTTATCATTTATGATGTATTTTCACTCTAACTTTTCTATGTCTAGATATACAGATACCATTGTGCTACAACTGCCTACAGTACTCAGTACAGAGGAGCAACAGGCTATACCACATAGCCTAGGTTTGTAGTAGGCTACACCATCTACGTTTGTGTAAGTACGCTCTGTGATCTCTCAGAACACACATCCCGGTTGTTTAGTGACACGTAACTGTGTATGAATTTATTTCACCAGAATAAAAACAAGGAATTCAAAGATGTCAAATAATCAAATGAGAATATAGTTTTCACAAGCAGTGGGCAGATCACAGTTGATGATCAGTATACACACTACTAAACATAAAAATCAAGAACCTCAGATATGATAGTATATAAATTATGTTTCAAAAAGCAACTGCTGCACACTCTTCTAGGCCACAAGAGTAATGACCTATATATAACAGCACAGTTCACTGTGGAGTGTGATCTTCATGCCCCTACAACTTCAGCTGGCAAAGTCTACTATAAACTTTCCCCCTAAACTAATTTTTGCTAGAGAGATACTGTCATTAAATAAGGAATTAGAATACTTACCAATAAGTCAGTAGCAGTCAAAATATGGTTTGTCCTTTATCTGAATTTCCTCCTGACAATGTTTTCTTCCTTCTGTCACTACCTGCAAAACACCACCAACCCCTCATTCTCAAGAGTCATTTGTCAAGTCAGTACTTAAACAGGTGAACATGTATGAGACCAGACATCCCTGCAGCTAGAGCACCATGGCAGACAGGGCTTGAAAGGTAACAGTTTTATTTTGAGCAGGGGTCAAAGACAATGCAGCACTTCACAGCTACAATGTAACTAGATCCTGCCTCAGTTTACTAAGAAAATACAGTGGACCCTTGAAGGAAATGGGTCTGAACTGGGCAGGACCACTTAAAGTGGCTTCTCTTCTGCCCCTGCCACCCTTTAGACAGCAAGACTAACCCTCCTGTCTCCTCCTCCTTAGCCTACTTGACATGAACATGAGGAAGATGAAGGCCTTTATGGTGATCCACTTCCACCTAATGAACAGTAAATGTATTTTCTCTTCCTTATGGTTTTCTTAATAACATTTTCTTTTCTCTAGCTTACTTTATTATAAGAATACAGTATATCCACTTTGGGAGGTCGAGACGGGTGGATCATGAGGTCAGGAGATCGAGACCATCCTGGCTAACACGGTGAAACCCCGTCTCTACTAAAAAATACAAAAAACTAGCCAGGCGAGGGTGGCGGGCGCCTGTAGTCCCAGCTACTTGGGAGGCTGAGGCAGGAGAATGGGCGTTAAACCTGGGAGGCGGAGCTTGCAGTGAGCTGAGATCCGGGCCACTGTACTCCAGCCTGGGCGACGAGACGAGACTCCGTCTCAAAAAAAAAAAAAAAAAAAAAAAAAGAATACAGTATATCATACATATAACATACAAAATATGTGTTTAATCGACTGTTATTAGTAGGGCTTCTGGTCAACATTAAGCTGTTAGTAGTAAAAATTATCTGCAGATTTTTGACTGTATCGGGGCTGGTGCCCCTAATCAGGTTGTTTACGGCTCAACTATAATCAGATATTAATAGCATCCTAATTAGCAATACTAAGGAAGAGCAGCTCTTACCACACCAGAAACTGGCATGCTTTTTCTTAGAAGCCAGGATACCTTTCACTCTGTGTTCTACAAGGAACAACCTGACTGGTCAATCTCTCGTCATTAAGAGCATACAATTTCTTTCCTTACAGTATTTCCAAGAGGAAAATGTTAATTCATGTCAGAGTTGGAATAAAAAGTCATTTGATTTCTACACCTCATCCCTACCACTGGAAGAGAATAGTTATTCACTGATTTTACTAATTCTGTCTAAATATAGATATTACTGTACCAGATCTTATAACAAAGTACCCTGTTTTAAAAAAGAGGTTCAACTCAGGCTGGGCATGGTGGCTCACGCCTGTAATCCCAGCACTTCGGGAGGCCAAGGTGGGCAGATCAGCTGAGTTTAGGAGTTCGAGGCCAGCCTGGCCAACATGGTGAAACCCTGTCTCTACTAAAAATACAAAAAATTAGCCAGGCATGGTGGTGGGCACCTGTGATCCCAGCTACTCGGGAGGCTGAGGCAGGAGAATCACTTGAACCTGGGAGGTGGAGACTGCAGTGAGCTGAGATTGCGCCACTACACTCCAGCCTGGGTGACAGAGTGAGACTCCGTCTAAAAAAAAAGGTTCAACTCAATTTTTCTATCTGGTACAGTTCTTTTTTCTTCTTGGCTTTTCTCTGATAGCTTTATTACAAATGCTAAGACATGATACTAGTTTCTGGAATTTTAGTAGAGAGCTTAAACAAGAAGGTAAATTTTAAATCCCTGGCTATGGTTTTTATGTGTATCAATTAGAAAAACATTACCCTCTTTCAAAATTATTGTAAAACATTGACTCCTTCAAGGGCCAATTCTTCCTTCTTCACCAGAATGTGAAATAGATCTGTCATGAACTTCTTGGTAATTTCCAACATATTAATATTGAGGCAGAAAGCAACACAACCTTTAAAAAGAGACAATAACTGACCAGGCTAAGTGGTTCACGCCTGTAATCCCAGCACTTTAGAAGGCCGAGGCAGGCGGATCACTTGAGGTCAGAAGTTCGAGACCAGCCTGGCCAACAAGGCAAAACCAGGTCTCTACCAAAAATACAAAAATTAGCTGGGCATGGTAGCACACGCCTGTACTCCCAGCTACTACTCGGGAGGCTGAGGCAAGATAATTGCTTGAATCTGAGTGGCGGAGATTGTAGTGATCTCAGATAGTGCTGCTGCACTCCAGCCTGGGCGATGAAGTGAGACTCTGAAAAAAAAAAAGACAATGACTAATTATGTTGACAAATCAATTAAGCAGATGTAATAGTTTCATAACAATACTTAGAGAAATAATGTTTGAGACCAAGCGTCCATGTCTTACTATAGAACTGAGTGAGACAGAGATTGTGGGAAACAATTGCTTTCAGCAGGGGACAAGGACAACGTAGCACTTCACAGCTATGTTGTAACAATGAATCCAACCTGCCAGCTGGAGAAAACTCATGTGCACAAGAGTACTTGTATTTAATTTCTAGTAAATCTCATGGATTTGATCCTTAATTCCTTGGTTCAACATTTTTATCTGCTTCATCCAAAACAACCTGATCCTTTTGAAAAGTTAGAAGAAAATGTTTCACTTAAGTGTGAGTTGGACCTTGTGATTTCCTTCCTAATAGTACAGTGTGGAAGGAGGGTGGAAGAGTAACTTTCCAGCACAGAACCCTTTCTAGTGCTACCTCAGCCATGTAATTAAGGTCAACAGCAACCATCATAACTCTCAATCTGATGTGACGAGAATCACACATTAGGCCGGGTGCGGTGGCTCACGCCTGTAATCCCAATGTTTTGGGAGGCCAAAGCAGGCGGATCACCTGAGGTCGGGAGTTTGAGACCAGCCTGACCAACACGGAGAAACCCCACATTAAAATTACAAAATTAGCCAGGCATGGTGGCACATGCCTGTAATCCCAGCTACTCGGGAGGCTGAGGCAGGAGAATTGCTTGAACCCACGAGGTGGAGGTTGCAGTGAGCCAAGATTGCACCATTGCACTCCAGCCTGGGCAACAAGAGCGAAACTCTGTCTCAAAAAAAAAAAAGAGAGAGAGAGAATCACACTTTACATCTGTGGTTCTCTTCCCCAAAGCCCCAAATTCAAGTCTAATCCAGAGGAAAACATCAGTCAATTCTAACAGAAAGATATCCTACAAAATACCTGAATACTTCTCCTCCAAACCGTCAAGGTCACCAAAAATAGGAAAAATCTGAGAAACTGTCACAGCCTAGAGGGGTCTAAAGAGACATGACAGCAAAATGGAATGTGGTATCCTGGATAAGATTCTGGAACAGAAAAAGTACTTTACATAAAAACTAAGAAAACATGAATAAATTGTGGACTTTAGTTCATAATAACCCATCAATGTTGGTTCATTAATTGTATCATACTGGTTGGGTGCAGTGGCTCACGCCTGTAATCCCAGCACTTTGGGAGGCCAAGGCAGGTAGATCACAAGGTCAGGAGTTCAAGAGCAACCTGGCCAATATGGTGAAACCCTGTCTCTACTTAAAATACAAAAACTAGTTGGCCATGGTGGCACACATCTGTAGTCCCAGCTTCTTGGGAGGCTAAGGCAGGAGAATCGCTTGAACCCAGGAGGTGGAGGTTGCAGTGAGCCGAGATCGTGCCACTGCACTCCAGCCTGGGCAACAGAGAACGCCTCCATCTCAAAAAAAAAAAAAAAAAAATTGTAGCATACTAACCATAATATAATTACACCACAAATTTACCATACTAACGTAAAATGTTAATAACATATAATAGCATCCAAGGTATATGGGAACTCTTTGTACTATCTTCTCTGTAAACCTGTAACTTTTTTCTGGAAACCTAAAGCCATTTAAAAAATAAAATAAACTCTATTTTTCAAAAGTCTTAGTATCATTTCTAGATATTCATGTGTAGCAACTTGCTTCATTAGGTTATTTTCCCTCCCATACCCTAAACATCACTAGCTAAAAAAATGTCCTAGGAAAAATCAAAATAGACATTTTCTACATTATTCTTCTGTGTTTAAGATGTATAAATAGTGAATAAGCTCTGCATTTACATCTCCAGGGCAAGTTGTTCTGATATGTATTCACTATTCACTGGTTATCATTCACTTTAAAGATAATTATCTTTCCAATAGGAAACCATGACTTACATAGCCATGATCTTAATGAAGCCTATCGCTTTGTTAAAACAAGCTTTACTTCATAGCTAATATAGCAGTGAGCTTTGAAAACAGATAGCATGCAGATATCACAAATGACAAAGATTCCCAACTCATAACCACATCACTGCGGTTTTCATGTCGCACACTGCATTTAAACTTGACAATAGTGAACAGAAAAGGCATGGATCCTAGTCTACCCAGAAAGAAAGCTTCAGTTTGTCAATTGGTTGAGATACAGACCTACAAAACATACCTGCAACCCTAGTTTCTGTTTAATTTGAAACAAAAACTCCCTCTATGCAAGTCCAATAGTTAACAAGAAGGTTCTGAATGGATGACTTTATACTAAGTCTGAAGTATAAAGTTTTATATTTTTATAAAACCCAAAGTATCTGGGAAGTCGGGTCTCCCTGAGGGCAGACCTTAACCAGTTACTCGGCAGAGACGTACACACCAGCTTGCTGGTTCTCTGGTAAGGACAACTCCAAGGATTGACTATGCACCCTGACTTAGAGTTCAACAGGATTGAGTCACCTCGAGGGGAACAGGCTTAGAGCAGCTTGCTCTGTGGCCTTCCTTCCCTTTCTATTCTATTTCTCTATTTCCCTGCGATTTTTTCCTGCAAACTTTCTAATTATTTGCACAGGAATTCCTGTCTTAGGGTTTACTTCTGGGACCCTAAGACACATGATATAATAAGTATTTTTTAAACGGATGACTCTTATCTTTAAAAGCAGTGTAACTTACTACTTTTTTGACATATTCTGATGTAAAAGATAAAGTCACTTTGCCACTGCTGAATGTAAACAGAGAAAACTGATTTGGAAAATTTTTTAAATTCAAATTTAAATATGAAAGATATTCATCCTTTACCCCGTGATACATGCTACAGATTATTTTCTCCCAATCCAGTGTTTTTTCAGTTGTCTTCTGACTTTATGATGTATTTGTCATGCCATTTGTTTTATGTGGTCAAATTTATCAACTTTTTATTTTATTGCTTATGGGTTTCTGAGTCATAGTTAGAAAGCCTTTTTCTTTCAGTAGTTGTATTGTTTCATTTTTCACATTTAGATCCCTGATCCATTTAGACTTTATTTTTGTTATGCTATGAGGTGTAGATCTAATTTTATCTTTTTCCAAATGGCCAACCAGTTGGCCCAGCTCTGTGTATCACAAAGCCCAACTCTGCTCCAATGATATGTGATACCACCTTTAACTTTCCATGTGCACTTGGGGTTACTTCTGGATTTTCTATTCTATTCTACTTCTCTTTTTCTATTATTCACACACTAGTTCCACATCTTAATTGCAGAGACTTTGTAACCTCTATAGTCATAACACCTCTATGACTGCCTTCATAACCTGTATAATACAGTTTTAATTACAGAAACTAAAGACAAAAATAACTGTAAACCAATATTGAACTCTGGCTAGTTGGTCTGTTTTTCACAGTGGTACGGGTTAGCGATTTTGAATCAACTTTTTGTACACGATTGAGCAAAGAAGTGAATATCTTGTGGATAAGGACAACCAGCTTTCTCACTCTCAGAAAACAGTAACAATTACAGAAAGGGCAGATCTGATTGAACCCTGAGATGATGCACTGGAACTGAGGTAACAGTATGAACTCAGCTGTTTTTTTAAACATACATGTAGATAGATATAAAACAGATATAGATGTACCTGGATTGATGCGTGTATGGATGTGTGTGGGGAGAGTGCGTGTACATATATATGTATACATATGTACATAAACACACATACACACATAACGTGTGTGTGCATATATATGTATATACACACACATAAATATACACATAAAGTTTCCTAGCGTTTGTCTGCTGAGACAGTCTAGAAGTAATGGCATCCTAGTAGCAACGAACACAACCTACAACCCAGATACGGCTATAAAATAACATTCTCCAAAAAAAGGAATCAGGATTCTTTGGAGAAATGTCTGATTCCAAGGCAGGAGCTAAGTACAAGATGAGCCTGGAACATCCTGTGCCCTTAAACAGGGAATGACGGGGACATGTTAAAAGGACACGGGAACCAGAAGTAAACAAATGAATAAACGGGGGAGAAAGGAAAGTGCTTCCTTACTTTAAAAAAATAGAAACAAAAAAAAACATTCTGTAGCTCGTGCCCTGTAGGGGCGGGGGAAAGACAGAGGCCTGGCTGCAGAACGATGCCCGGCTGCAGAACGACGCCCTCTGGAAGGGGTACTGGAAGCCGAATCCCCTGACAAGAGGATGCCGTCCTGTCCTCCCGCTCGAGCCTCGTTCTCCCTTCACCCCTCCCCCGCCCCCACGCACCGATCGACCGCCGCTTTATGCCCCGTCACCTTGGCAACAGCAGCGGGCTCAGGCAGTGCCGCCACCAGTTTCTTGCAGCCGCGAGCAACACTGACGGTGCAGAGGCTGCCGCCATGTCCCCGGGGCCCGGTCGCTTGTTCAAGTGCGGCTGCGTCTCCGCTGTCGTCCACATCACCTCCGTTCTGTGTGAAAGCCTCTTGTCCTCCTCTGGCCACCGTCCAGGTCTGAACCAAGAAATGAGCCAATCCCAGCGAGGCATTCGGGTGGGGGCGTCACCGTTGAAACCACTCGGCTACAATCTGCCAATCGGACTCGTGCCCGCGGGGTGTGGTCCCGGCCCCCGGGGCCCTGGGGGTTTGCATCTACTCCCGGGCCGTGTTAGGGGCTGGGAGGATCTGCTCTGTCCCCAGCCTTCTCAGGCCCTGGATGTCCCTATCGCTGTTTCCGCGCATGAACTGCAAGGGCCCACCCTCTCGCAGGCTCCAGGACAAGAAACTCTCTTCTTGACCTTCGATCTTTAGAGCACTGAGGTGAAGAAAGGGGCGGGAGACTGTCGTAGGATACAAAGGAGTGGAGAATAAAACAATGCAAAATTGTATAACATTTTCGAAATGTTTAAAAAAAAAAAAAGGCATGAAGAAATCCTCTTAACCGTCTCAAAACTGAAATCACTGAATATCTTAAAAATGAACCAAAAAAAAAGAGAGAAAGCGCTGCATATTAGTACCTGTGGGATATGCCAATGCAGTGCTTTTAAAAATTCAAAATAAAAGTAAATTAAATAATTTAGAAAAAAATAGCAAGGTAAACCTAAGAGAAGCAGAAAGAAGGAATTCGTAAGAATAAAAGAAGAAAATAAAAAGTAGAAATGGGAATGGGAATACTAATAAGCAAGAGATTTGAAAAAGGCAACAATAGGGTGGTTGTCTCAAGAAAGAAAGAGGAGCATCTCAAAATACAAAATGATAAAGGGGAAATAACCATAGATACAGGAAAACTTAAAAGAATTGCATGATCAGTCAGTTCTGTGTAATAAATTTGAAAACTTGAATGAAATGGACAAAATTCCAAGAAAATACAATTTACCAAAACATTCTAGAGATAGAAATTCTAAGTAGAGGCCGGGCGCGGTGGCTCAAGCCTGTAATCCCAGCACTTTGGGAGGCCGAGACGGGCGGATCACGAGGTCAGGAGATCGAGACCATCCTGGTCATGCAAGCTCCGCTCCGGGTTCACGCCATTTCTCGGCCTCAGCCTCCCGAGTAGCTGGGACTACAGGCGCCGCCACCTCGCCCGGCTAGTTTTTTGTATTTCTTAGTAGAGACGGGGTTTCACCGTGTTAG